ATTAATAAATTAAAAAAATTAACTACTCTTAAAATAAATAAAATTCAATATAATTAAAAAAATTCCTTCATGTTATTATGAATATTAATTTTAAAGTATTAAGACAAATAAATTTGGGTTATATTAATTACAGAGGGTTTCTAAAAGTTTACGCACACTTTTTTTGTGCGAATTTACTCAAAATTTTATTAAAAAATTAGGTAATTTACAAATAATAAATAATGTTTCTAGACTTTTAAAATATATATTTTATTAAGGGTTTAATACTTGGTCAGACTACCATTTGCATTTATTACCGCTTGAATTTGTCAAAGCATACTTTCGACAAATTTTTAATTTTTTCAGAAGTAATTGATTTCCAAGCCTTTCGTACTTGTCATTTAAGTGAGAAAAAGTTAGTGGGCTTTACTTTTTGGCTTTGAAGGATTTTTTTAATTTCATCCATAGATTTTCGATTGGGTTAAGGTCAAGGCTTTAAGTAGGCCATTTAAGGGTTCAGATATATTTTTTTACACGAAATTCTGCAACAATTTTGCTTTTGTGACAAGGAGCATTTTCTTCTTCAAAAATACCATCTTTATTTGAAAAAAATTACTTTATAGTAAAGATAACATGCTTGCGTATAGTTTTGAGATGCACTGCACCATTTACAGAACCAATTAAAGGGATAATTGGTCCTAATCCTTATGCAGAAAAACTTTCCCAGAACATCTGACTTAGACTGTACTTCACTGTTATTAAAACACAAGCAGGTAACTATTTCTCAGATGGTTCTTACTAAACCCGGCTAGTATGTGATTGTTGAAACTGAGAAAAGGTTGATTTATCAGTCTAAAGAACCTTTTTCCAGTCTTGCACAGTCCAGTGTGCATGTTCTTGTGCCTGTGCAAGTCGCTTTACAATGTTTTCAGGTGAAATAAATGGTTTTCGCCTAGCTGTACAATTATTTAATCCAATAATATGAAGTATTCAACGGATGGTAGGGGTAGAAGCATCCTGCCCTGACTCTTTTTCCAAAGAGCTTGCACTTCATGGGTATATTTATGGCGATTTTTTTCTTTGTAATCAATCATTTAAGTTAGTTACAATTTGGAGTTATGAAAAGGCGTGGTTGTCCAAAATGTGGCTTTGTATCAGTAGACCCAGTGTCTTTATACCTTCTTATACAAGCTGAAACTGTAGAGTGTTCACATCCTACAGTTTCTGCAATTTTTCTGCATGAATGGCTAAGTTGATATCCATAAAGAATAGCGCTTTTTTGGGACTCAGTAAGATCTTTTCCTTTATCCATTTTTTTAAGGTAAGGTTAAAAATTTTTTTCATATTTTTTGGTTTATTTATTCTTTTTTAATTAGTGTGAGAAAATTCACATGGTTGTCTCAAATTATGAGTGCATAAAACAAATCGTGCAGGGTTTACAATTTTTGCGAAATTTGTGATGTTTATTATATTTATGATATTGGTGATATATTTAGATGAAAATGGTGGCCTGATCAAATAATAAACAGCTTAGTACAAAGTTTAATTTATTATTCTAGAAACAATATTTATTATTTGATGATCATTTGCTTACTTAATAAAAATATTATTAAAATTCATACAAAAAAAGTGTGCATAACCTTTTAAAGACTCTCTGTATACTTTTCAATTTCTGCAGTTAACACCTGAAATCCATTTTATGAATTTTCAATATAAAAGTCATAATCATAAATTTCTTGAATGGTTTAATCTGTGTTTTAATCATCATAAGAAAGTCTGAAGAAATCAAATCAGCGGTTGAATTGAAACCCAAAAATAAAAATATTATAAGCTGCCCAGGTTGTAGCATCAGAATGGACAATTCAATGAGTTGGTACAAACTTCAAATGTTTTTAAAGAATGGTTACCCTGGTCATTTAATCATTGTGAAATCATCTACTTGAAAATTAATGAAGGAACATGTTAAATAGTGTTTCGTAAAATTGCGTTAATTTTTAAATGATTGAATTGTTTAAGTTCATAAAATTTTACATAAAGTATATTAACATTTTTACTTGACAATATTTCATAATTTTTAACTTAAATACCAGGTCAGGTTTTTGGTATATTTTGAACGAATGCATTATCTGACCTAAACTTATTATAGTGTGACGGTTGAACCATTATCAGAATGAAGCTAACTATCATTGCTTATCACAAAAATTATGATTTTGGGTATTTTTGGAGATAAATAATATGACTTTCAGTAGGTTTTAAACCAACAGTTATTCAGGACAGGACTGAGTAATTAAGTGAATTTTATCTACTTTTAAATACCAATTTTGAGAATTATCTAACTAATTAAAGCAAATTGAAGTTTTTTTTTAAAAAAAAAAAAAGATAAAGAAAAATTATTCTCAAATATCTTTTGCGAAAAAATATATAAATTTTGATGAATTAAATATACTGTAGCAGTGATCATTATGTATCTTTATAGTAATCTCACAAGTTTATGACAAGTAATAGTGATAAGAAAGTCTTGATTATTATTAAACTTATCTTCAAATGGAGGAGTTCCGCTAAAAATTTCCCACTTTAATACGCCAAACTATAAATATCTGAAGGCTTAATATATTGAAATTTTTGATTGGAAAGTATTTGTGTTCTATATAGGTGGCTTTACCAAAAAGTCCGATATACAAATTTTCTAAGATTAATCATGATCTATGCGATGTCATAATTTTTATTATCTAACTGTTTTTTTCCTTTAGACGATTTTTAAATAATCTTAAAGGGCATCAAATGCATGATAGAAATAGTATGTATAGAATAATAAGGTGATATTAATTAAACGTTTATAAAATAATTGTGCAAACCTTATTGTTATTTATATATTAAATTTGTAGTTTTAGAGTTTAAGGACAACCCTAGGGTCATTTCATTCTATCTCTAAATTGGAAATTTTTTGTTCTTGTTCTAATATTTTAACTTCTTAGTTCACTAATCTCACAAAGGAACCAAAAAACTATTTTATATATTGAATTTTTCAAACAAAAATTAACTAATATAAAAAAAAATTTTCTTTCATTAATGAAAGGATGTGTGATAAACAATTAAGTCATTTTTTTTATTATTTCAGTATCAATCATGCTGAACCAAGGGAAGTAGATCAAGTCTCCAATTTCCGCTTCGACTTTAAGGCTCAAGCACTAAACAAACTTCATGATTATAATGTTGAATTATACTTTTAAAGGAAATCAATTTTTTTCCAGAGTCGTTATAACTTGCAACCTTTCTACTTGTTGTTAGCAAGCCTTTTATTTTGGCTGGTTAGTTTGTGGCATTTCCCGGGGTTCATACCCTGACGAAGCTTGCATTTTTTAATAAAATACTTTTATGTCAGCAAACCAGTTTTATCCTGGTACCATATAATTATAGGAATATAAAAAAAACATAAATATTTTTCTATTTACATTTAGGTACACACGACAGGAATCATTTATTATCTGTAAATCTATGTATTATCACCCTAAATGAAATTATTTTCTAAATTTTAAAGTTGACAACGGCTATGGCGAAGTGGAATTAAAATAACTTTACTGTAAGATCACGTGAATTTTATGAAATCTCGTGACTAACTTATCACAAGTAAAATTTCATCGATTTTTCGGTTCATGTCACCCGGCCGGGTCATTTTGACAAAAAAAAGTTTATATATAAAAAGTTTATCATGTGACTATAAAGTATAATTTTATTGGTAGATTAAAGCTTTATAGTATTATCGTTATGTATAATTCCTTTCTTACAGCTCATTAGTTTCATGCAGCTTTCCAAGCAATACCTTGTGCTGAAATTTATTCTCCAACTAATGATTTTGATGGGCTAAACTTCACTTCAAAATCTGCTTCCCATCAGTCAGGTGATAAATATAGAATCGATATATTTCCAAAAAAATCTTATTTTTGTTTCTTTCTCAACAGTTAAAGTTTCCCAATCTTTAGAATTGTAACGTATTTTACATGGGTAATAGGCATTTTGACGGAGTTACGATGATTTTGAAATGAATTGTAATTGTCGTATGATTAGGCCGGGCAAAAAAAATTTTAGATAAAATTTTAAAATTGACACGGTAACCCGGTTATTTTTTTCTTGTCCATATGTAAGTATTACACAAATCTTTCTTTCGTCGCTTTCTTTTAAACAAAATCTGATGTGCCGATTTTATCATGTAAGGTCATATGATAAAAATATTACTATAAAAAAAATATCCTGAATTTTCGTAAACTGACAAGGCCGGGTCACAGAATATGAAAGTTATTTTGCATGGCCTTTGTCCCCTTAAAGGCTGACCAATCAGATGATATAATCTTTATATATAAACTTTTTTATTAATAAAATAATCATTAATAAACTCCGGGTCTCCGGGTCGATTTTAAATTTCAATGTTACGTGAACCGAAAATCGAAGTTGCATGATCTAAGAGAGGGGTGAAATATATATTTTCCACCCCCCAGAATGCATATAAAGATTAAAATGAGGGGATGTGACACAGGTTGTGCGTAAATTTTGGGCGATATTTTAATAGCAAAACCTCCCAAATTTTTCGCTATGTAGAATAAAATTTTTATTTAGGTATGTTTATGTAAAATAAAAATATATAATAAATAAATCAATATTACCCTTGGTAAAGCACCGAAAATTATGTTGTTTTCAAGAAAAAAAATGTCGTTTGCCCTGAAAAAAATTTACTTTATTGTCCGGAGCGTAAGCGAAGGACGATATACTTCTATGTAATATGAAAATCATGGTTTCCGTCTGTCTGTCCGTTCACGTGATATTATATTCGAATCATGTGATAATAATAAAAAAAAATCATATTGATGTTGATGGTTAGATAATCAGTGTAATAATAATAATAATAATCCGTTTGTGTTAAAAATTATTTTCTTAAATTACTTCTAAAATTTTGTTCGTTGTGGGAGAAAAAAATATATAAGTACGTACTATAGTATTATTTTTTCGCTTTTTTTTACTTCTAAAATATGCAAAGAGCTCCGGACTCACAACGGTCCCCGTTACCTAGTTTACACACACTTATACCGTTTTTATTATTCAATAAGAAAACGTCATTAATATTTACTGATATTCATCATTTATCAAACGTCATTATGGATAACAATAACTTCGCTTTTACTTTCAATAATCTTGATTCTAGGGAGGAAAGGACGTTAAACAAGGTAAGTTATTTTTAGCTATTTATTACGTAAAACAAGAAAATGAAAATTTCTTTTAAGTACTTTTCACCTATAGTTGCCTGGTAAAACTCACTCATTTTAGCAAATGGCAAATGTCGAAACACTATATTTCGACGGATTTGTTAATAAGTATTTAACAGTTTTGCCAATGACTCCGTCGAAACCCGAGAGTTTTGCCAGGCAACTATATTTTCACCTAGATCTGGGATTACATGGTGAAGACGAGCAAAAAGGGAAAGAAAGCTTTCAACCGATATCATCTGCCATAAAGGTATATCTCGATGTTTGGTTTTACTCCATGTATGTTTGCCCTTTAATGCACATTAAGAGGAGAAACTAACGAATTTTCAACCAATTTTCCAGAACCAATAATTATGAGAGAGCATGGAGCATAACTTCCCCATGGGATGCTCTCTGTTACCTTTACACGATCAGCTTTCCCTCATGAAGTAAAATATCAGGAAGAATAAGACAAACTATTTCCTCCTAAAGAAAAGTCTAGAGAGGAAAGGGACAATAAAATTCACTTATCTGAATCAGGTAAAATTTCTTTTTCGGCATCTCAATCAAATTGGTTAAAGGATAAAAATAATTGGATCCCAATCGTTGGAGGCATCCAAGAACAATCAATGTCTCCTGGAAATCAAGACAGGAAAAGATTAACAACGTTGCGTTTGGTGTATCACAGCTCTCAACGGGCATCAAAAGAATCGACTGGTCGCAATCCGATAATACGACAATACCTTTTTCCTCAGGACCAAGGTGGGAATGAGATTCCAACTCTAGAAAATTATTGGTAGTGAATGAATGGACTTTTTTATGCCAGAGACAAGATCTTCCTATAAAGTCCCGAATAAGTCATTGAAAATGGCAATGCCAAAATTACCAAGCTTGAGAGAGTTGGTTGACGCAATAAAGAATGTTACAAGTTTCATGAATTACACGAATCTATGTTTGATGAAGATAAAAAATACTTCGTTGACACATTTGGTATCACCAATATTCACCCGCTGCTTATGGAATGGTTACAGTCAACTCTTGATATAACGAATTGTCCGGGCTGATCGGACCTTCGTTATAAGAAAATTCTTTATCACTATTACGAATTTTTTGCAGGTGTCGATTTGAGTCAACTGACAGTTGACATGCGTCAGATGACTAATGCTGGCCAAACCTTCTTAAGGCATTATAAGATCAGTCTAAAATAGGCTATAACGCACAACATATATAACGTCACCAATCGGACCAATCAGAATGGTCCGTAAAATCACGTGATGGCGAGTAAAAAAAAAATATTTATTTTTATTCTTTTTTATTTTCCTGTTTGCTCCACTTTCTCGTATTTTTTCCCCTAATATGGCGTCGCTATTGCTGGCTTTTTTGGTTTCTTATCTTTTACGTCCTGCTACGTAGAATATTCCCCCTACGTATGGAATTTTACTTCCCATTTTTAATAAAGTTTTTTATTTTTTTTTTTATTTTGTATTTTTTGTTTTTTATTTTTTATTTTTATTTTATTTATTTATTTTTTTCCTCTTTAGGACCGGCTTTCTTTTGGTACCTGCTTTCTTGGACTCTGAAATCGGTAAGTGTATTGTTTCTTTGGAATTTTTGGTGTGGGCTGGAATCTCAAAGAACGTTCTTTTGTTTCTTTTGTAGGACCGGATTCTTTAGATTCTGGATTCTTGGGACCAATACCGGTAAGAAATTCTTTTTAGGTGGCTGGGTGGCTTATTCAAGAAAGTTTACTAACGTTCTTTTTTTTTCTGTTGTAGGATAGAAATTCCGAGCTTTTATTTTTGTCGTACTGTTTTAACTGATGTCTTCAAAAAACTGCAGAAACAAATGTGGAGAGTTATCCAAAAAGGACACCTAAGAACACACAAGAAGCGCAACACAGAAACGAAAAATGTGGAAAGTGAAAATGAGAGTTTTCCAAAAGAGATCATACAAAAAGCTTCGAAAAACGAAAAAATGTAGGAGTTCGATTTATGCTGCACCTAAGCGGAAGTCGACGCATTGCCAGACAAAATTCAGATCTTACAAGTGCCACCAGGAATCTTAGTATCCGTCCCGGTTCCGGTTCCAGTTCACGTTCCGGTTTTGGCTTAAATGACCTTCCTTCTTCGGCACCTAAATTTGCAAAGAAGATATGGAAGCATTAAATGCAACCTTCGTACCAGCTTCCGAAGAGAACGAAGTCATACCTGCTGTTGACAGTAAGTACTATATGTGTTAATAATCTTCATAGCGAACATA